AAAAGCTTCGACAAGGGCGGGGAATTCCCCAGAGAAAAATTACGACTTTTTTTCTTGAGCCTAAAGGGGGAAAGCAGCTTTAAAACAGTAAAACCAAAAGGGAATAATAAACAGAAAAAATTAAACCGAGGGGTTTTTTAAACATACTTCTAAATTTAGGGGGAGGGACAAAAAAGAAAATATGTGCCCCAAAAAAAATTAAATAGAGGGGTGGCAAAATCCCAAAAAAAATACCAAAGCTACGGGAAAAAGCCTCGGGTGGAAAGTGAGTAAAAGGTTATTTAAACAGGGTTTGGAAAATTTTAGTGGGAAAAAGGGGGTAGGGGAATTTAATTTTTTTTAATTATTACTTCATCAGCCTGTGTTACCCTTTGTTGGTTTATTTAAAAGAAGAAAGAGTTTAAAATCACAAAAAAATTAAAATTTGCAACGAAAAGGGGGTTGTTTTTCATGTCTTTAAAAGAAAAAACCCAAGGGAAAAAATTTGGAAGGGATAAAAATAGAAAAAGTCAAAATATGCCAAAAAATTTGAGTAAAATTTCCCAAATTGAAGCGTGACTTACATTTCAACAAAAAATTTGCGGGAAGAATTTTTAAAACCCACCCAAGTTGATAAAATTTAAAGCAAGTTTGGCTGAAGTACTAAACCAATGTGATGAAAATGAAATCAAAAACAATCATTTTAGTTGGAGGGTACAGTGAATCTCCCTATGTAAGGGAGAGAATTCAGTCAACATTCAGTAACATGAGAGTTATCCTTGTAGATGATGCTAGACTGGCTGTGTTAAATGGGGCAGTGATGATGGGCTGGAAACCTAAAAACATCATACAACGTAGGTCCAGGTACACTTATGGGTTTGATAATAGAAAACCATTTAAAGTGGGAGTAGATCCAGAACAACTTAGGATTAATTGTGATGGGGACATTTATTGTGACATGATATTTTACAAGATGATAGAAAAAGGTCAGATAGTGGAGTGTGGACAGACATTTATATTTGAAGGGTATGAAAACAGCCACTTCAGCAGGAAGAAAACATAAAATGAAACTTAATAGTCTATATAGATCTACCAGAGAGGATCCTCGATACTGTATAAAGAAGGAGGACTGTAGCTTAGTAGGACAAGTAAAAATTAAAAAACCACCCAGCAGACGGATGGCCAAAGATATCTGGGCAGTATGATCTAAGCAACTTTTTGTTGCGTGAAACTGAGTTCCATTGTGAAGTAATTTGATCTTAATACAGGAAACAAGAAAATGAAGACAAATGGATTTTTTCTGTAATTATAAACAGTAGGGCCTGAAGAATAGAGGATTGATAAAAAATTGTTTGGTCTTTTACTTTTTTTTTCCTTAAAAATGGTCATTCCTTTCAAACAGGACAAAAGGTATAAGTTTACTGAAGAAAAACGCTTTCAAAATCCCACATTTTAGCCATGACTTAATTTAGTGATGTTAAATTTTTGGATACTGCAAAATTTGTATTTATTTTATTCCCTCACAAGGAAGTGCTATATTTCTACTTTGTAATGTGTTAATGCAAGTAAATAAGAACAATACAAATAAAGGATTTACAGTAGAGTAGACATACCTCAGACAGAGTTATTGTTTTCTTAAATACTTCATTGTGATATATCAGTTATCTAAAGAAACAAAGCATATAAGACTGGTTAATGAAAAGAAGAGGAAATGATTTTTTACTTCGCAAACTTTCCTCCCTAGAGAATTGGATTGCCCTAAATAAGTACAGAAAAGGAATTGTAATGAATTTTACCATTTTACTATATCTTCAAGAAAGAAATATACCCACAAACTCGCAGTCAGTCCCGGCTAGTTTCTGGCAAATCAGGACAAAAAATTTGAGTTGTAATATTAGACAAAAGGTGAGGGCGAATTACAGAATGGTTACTAATAAGGACGAGGGTTGGGGGTGGGGTTGCAGATTTTCTGTTCAAAGGCTTATCTTTGTTTGTTTTTGGGTTTAACGTCACATCGACACAGTATAGGTCATATCGCGATGTTCCAGCTTTACTGGTGGAGGAAGACCTCAGGTGCCCTCCCGTGCATATTTCAGGCACGAACGGGCACCTGAGTAGAGCCAGCGACGTTCCGTAAGCTAGCTGGATAGCTTCCTCACCTGAAAGAATCCAAAGTCCCTGTCGGGATTCGAACCCACAGCAGTGAGGGGCAAGTGATTTGAAGTCAACGACCTTAACCACTCGGCCATGGACGCCCCAAAGGCTTATCTAAAAGGCTATTCAGAATAACAGTTGAATTCAGCAGGGATTGAACGCATAAACCCTGGAATTGCTGTCAAACAGTCTTTCCCAAGATGTCATTTATTCTATGACACAGTTCATTCAGGAATTCAGTTTTAAGGGATTTTATTTATTAAAATACAAAAAATTGAGCTACCAACAGTATAAGGCAGGGCTCCAGATAAGATGCGTATATGCGTAAATTACGCATGGAAATAACACATTTACGCATTCAAAACAAAATTTAAGCGTATAAAAAAATGCACACAAAAATCAGGTTACCCATTGGGAAACATTTCTTTCGCTTACGTAACCGATAGTAAACTCGGTGATTATTTCGTCTGAACGCTTTGCAAGCGTCTACCGGTAACTTCCTGTAGTTCTGACCATCATCGGTTGATATCGTATGTATAGTATGGTGGTGGAATTAACTTTGTATGAATGCTCTGCAATTACCCCAAAGCGTCTAACGGTAACTTCCTGTAGTTCCGACTATCATCGGTTGTTATCGTATGTATAGTAAGGTGGTGGAATTAACGCAATTGGTACAATGTCGCTGTCAAAAGTTAAAACTATTGACTTGTATTTTCAGCCGAAAAAAATCAACCCAAAGGTAATTGTGAAGATTATAATTAATAAAATAATTAGCGCTGCCACGTATGAGCAACAGAAACATGCCTCAGGTTCAGATAAAACGTATGCCGTTTGGCAATGCAAGATTATAAACCAAGGGAGTCCAAAAAGCAAAGGAAATGACTTATCTTGTATTACAAGTATAATAATACAATAAGCATGGAAGCATAATAAATGTTTTACTCTTTTACATGCATTTTAAGGAGTAAAAATACTCCTGCCAAATTTCAGATTTCAAGTTTAACTCATTCACAACAATATCAATGAGTAAATAGTCATTGCCCTAAAAAATTATCTGGAGCCCTGATAAGGCCTGATCAGACTGTACGGTGACTAACATTTTTGGTTCCAGCAGGTTGAGTGTTAAAATAAGGGCCTTAGGCTCTATATACAAATACAAGAGGGTCATGATGGCCCTGAAAGCGCTCACTGGGGTGGGGCCAATTTTAACCAAAGGGCTTTTATTTGAACAATTTTGGTAGACATCCATTAGAAGATGTTTCATGATAAATATCTAAGCTCTATCGCTTCTGGGTTTTTAAAAGAAGATTTTTAAAGTTTTTACTTTACACATAATTATAGGGAAAAACAATGATCACCCCCCCCCCAGGTGGGGCCAATTTTGACCCCAGGGAATTTATTTTAACAAACTGCTACAAACTTACTGGAAGATATTTCATGCTTGGTATCTAAACTCTAGCGCTTTTGGTTTGTAAAAGAAGATTTTTTCAGTTTTTTCTATACGCATAAGGAAAATCAATGACCAATTTTAACACCAGGGCGCTTATTTGAACAAACTTGGTAGACAACCATTAGGAGATGTTTCATTCTAAATATCTAGCTCTAGCTCTTTGGGTTTTTAAAAGAAGATTTTTTAAGTTTTTACTATATACATAAAGGGAAAAACAATGACCCCCTGGGGCGGGCCAATTTTGACCCTAGGGTTTTATTTGAACAAACTTGGTAGACACCCACCAGAAGATGTTTCATGCCTAAAATCTAAGCTCTAGCTATTTGAATTTTTTAAAAGAAGATTTTTTAATTTTTAGTAAAATCAATGACCCCTGGGGTGGGCCAATTTTGACCCTAGGGCATTTATTTGAACAATCTTGGTAGACACTGACTAGATGATGTTTCGTGTAAGCTCTTTCGTTTCTTTAAAAGAAGTTTTTTCTTTTGGTTGCATGGCATTAAATTCTTTGAACAATTTTTAAAGTTCACTAACAAAGGAACATTGCTGTGAAGTTTGGATGGAATGGCTTAGACGTTTATCAGGAGATGTCGTTTAAAGTAAAAGTTTACGGACAGACACCGGACTAAAGTGATTACAAAAGCTCACCATGTCACTTTGTGACAGGTGAGCTCAAAGGGCAACATTGCTCAAGCCCCCAGCACTGACTTGAGCGATACTCAATTTTCAACACTTTTAAAGGCAGGAATCAATCATTCCACAGGAACAGAAACAACACTTTCCCAATTTGCTACTTGCCTCAACACAGGTTATAAGTTCTACGGAGGAGGAAAACCCTGCATAAACTTATGCAAAAAGAGTTAAAATGTCAGTTAAGCCAGTATGACTAAAACACATTTAACTAACACATTTAAATTTAAGTATCTCCATTATTGAACTAAATTTTTATTACACTGAACTCTTCTGAGTTAACTTTAACTTTCTCAAGTGGGCCTCTGGGACAAGATATCTAGCCTCAGACAAATTTATTCACATTGAGACAATGAAGAACATACATCTTTAATATCAAGATTTATAATTTCATCTGTTTCATACCACCAAAATTTAACCGTTATACAGCATATTTTTCTTGGCAAGTTGATTATTCTATCCAAATACAATTGATAGTGATTTAGTCACTTCTTTATTGTCATACAATAACTTTTTTAACAGATAAGAGAAGGGGCCCTCCCCTTATACTTGAGGGGGGGATTATTTAAATGAGTTTTCCTTTAGGGAGAACTGCATGATTCTAAAGTTTTATTGAGGGGAAGCACCCTATAAAGGGGCCAGAGTTATAAAAGAATTAAATACACTCCTAACAATAAGAGTAATTACTAATTTGACCATCATATTTTCTTTCAAATGGTGATATTACCTGTTGCCTATGGTTACCAAGTTTTGACACAGTGACAGCTTTGGTATGGGCATTTTTGGCCTCGGTTAATTCTTGGAGAAGTTGGTCATTTTCTGCCTGCAGAACATCAACCTGCTTCTCTGTGTCCGTGCTACAACCTAATATCATCTGAAAATACATAGTCATACATGTACAGAATATATTTATTTTGATAATGAAATTTGTTAAGTTTTATTTTAAACAAAATATGTAAGCTCAATTGTGAAACAAGTTCATACAACTTATATAAGTCACTTTAGAGTCTGCTTCCTTGAATTGACCAGTACCCGAGTAATATGACAAATCTTGATTGTGATATGTGACCTGACCCGAGCTTAAGCCCACAATCCCGAAGTTAAGATGCAGACACCTTAACCATTAGGTCACGGCTCCCCTATAATGACATAAAAATTTATATACCATGGTCTATGCTGCAGACCATTATCTTATGATTAAAATTCATAAAAAATTGAAACATACAAAATATATTAACAAATTTAGTTCTCTTTCACCAAACCTTCTAAAAAATATTGTTGTTCATCTAATAAAAATGATTCTCAAAGGAAAACAAATTTCTAACAATGCCTTACCTGTTTATTTCTAAAACTATGGCTTCTTTGACTAGAAATTTTATTATCAGTATTATTGCTAGAGTTATTTGCCTTTTCTAATTGCACAATAGTGTTCTTCAAGGCAGTTATCTCCCTTGAACTCTCCTCTCGAAATGTGGTCAGTTCGAGCTGAACCTCGTTCAGTTCCGCGGTCAATGATGACCGTTCAGTCTGAAGACGTTTAATATCATCAATAAGTTTTGTGGTGCTCTCTACGGGAGAGTTACTAGTGGACGTAGCTTGAGCCGCCTGCTTTGTCTGTCTTGTTCTCTTTCTTGGAGTGGTTACTGAAACAGATGCATAAAAACTGTAACTGTATTCAATATATTTGGATTTTTGGGTGCACTGTCCTTTCAAGATATTAAAGATAAAACTTTTTTTACTGTAGTGATACTGATTTGTAGAATGATAAAAATGGGTCAAAGACAGAAAAGGCCGGGTTGCATATGTATACAAAATATCATGAGGCTGTGATGTTACTTAAATTTTGGACCACTGACCAATGATGTTGAAAATTTAACTAAGTTGTTACACCGGAAGTGGATGAGTAACAGACCTGAAAAGGAATCCCGTAATATGGGACCACATGTCAATGCTGTGAACCACATATCAAGAGGCTGTGGTAAGTAGTTGCTGAGAAAACTTCCTAAACGAAAATTTCCTACTAATTTCACCATTAATGTTGAAAATTTAACTAAGTCTGCAAACAGGAAGTGGATTAGCTACAGACCTGAAATTCCACTGTATGGGACCACATGTTAATGCTGTATACCAAATATCAAAAGGTTGTTACGAAAAATTTTCTACTATTAACCATTAATGTTGAAAATTTAACTAAGTCGGCAAACAGGAATTGGATGAGCGACAGACCTGAAATCGAATCCCACTTTATGGGACCACATGTTAATGCTGTATGCCAAATATCAAGAGGCTGTGATAAGTAGTTGCTGAGAAAACTGTTACGAAAATTTCCTACTATTGACCATTAATGTTGAAAATTTAACTAAGTTGGCAAACAGGAAGTGGATGAGTGACAGACCTGAAATCGAATCCCACGTTATGGGACCACATGTTAATGCTGTATGCCAAATATCAAGCGGCTGTGATAAGTAGTTGCTGAGAAAACTGTTACGAAAATTTCCAACTATTGACCATTAATGTCGGTAGCTGCTGAGAAATCTGTTACGAAAGTTTTTCCCCTCCGCCCGCCGCGCAACATTCACCATACTATAACCCGGGTTTGCACCTGTGCAACCCGGCAAAAAATCACTGTCTTTAATATAAAGATGGGGGAAAACTGTCTAAACAAATATTTTCTAACTGTAAAAGTAAACAAGAGCTGTCAGTAGGACAGCAACGCTCGACTATTCTTAGTGCTTGATAGTAAAAAAAAATGCTTGATACAGTTACCTCCTCCTGTCTACAGGTTGGGGTAATGATGGTGAACAAGTGTGCAAAGTTTCAAAGCCATATGTCAATGGACTTTGAAAATAATTGAACTATTACAAAAACTTTAACATAAATTCTAAGTCGAAAAAGGGGCATAATTCTGTCAAAATGCTTGATACAGTTACCTCCTCCTGTCTACAGGTTGGGGTGATAATGGTGAACAAGTGTGCAAAGTTTCAAAGCCATATGTCGATGGACTTTGAAAATATTTGAGGTATTACAAAAACTTTAACGTAAAATCTAAGTCGAAAAAGGGGCATAGATCTGTCAAAATTCTTGATACAGTTACCTCCTCCTGTTTACAGGTTGGGGTAATGATGGTGAACAAGTGTGCAAAGTTTCAAAGCCATATGTCAATGGACTTTGAAAATATTTGAACTATTACAAAAACTTTAACATAAATTCTAAGTCGAAAAAGGGGCATAATTCTGTCAAAATGCTTGATACAGTTACCTCCTCCTGTCTACAGGTTGGGGTCATGATGGTGAACAAGTGTGCAAAGTTTCAAAGCCATATGTCTATGGACTTTGAAAATATTTGAACTATTACAAAAACTTTAACGTAAATTCTAAGTCGAAAAAGGGGCATAATTCTGTCAAAATGCTTGATAGAGTTACCTTCTCCTGTCTACAGGTTGGGGTCATGATGGTGAACAAGTGTGCAAAGTTTCAAAGCCATATGTCAATGGACTTTGAAAATATTTGAACTATTACAAAAACTTTAACATAAATTCTAAGTCGAAAAAGGGGCATAATTCTGTCAAAATGCTTGATACAGTTACCTCCTCCTGTCTACAGGTTGGGGTCATGATGGTGAACAAGTGTGCAAAGTTTCAAAGCCATATGTCTATGGACTTTGAAAATATTTGAACTATTACAAAAACTTTAACGTAAATTCTAAGTCGAAAAAGGGGCATAATTCTGTCAAAATGCTTGATAGAGTTACCTTCTCCTGTCTACAGGTTGGGGTGATGATGGTGAACAAGTGTGCAAAGTTTCAAAGCCATATGTCAATGGACTTTGAAAATATTTGAACTATTACAAAAACTTTAACATAAGTGGTTACGCCGACGCCGACGCTCGGGTGACTGCAATAGCTCTACTTATTCTTATCGAATAGTCGAGCTAAAAATCAATGTAAAAAACATAAAAGACCCCTAAAAATAAGAAATCCTATCCAAATCTAATAAGAAAATTCAGTTTTACTAAAAGTTTTTCATCTTTAATCATCAGCATAAAAAGGCCAGGGGCATGATTGTGTACTAGACTCTATTAGGATGAATCTTAATAAGTTTTTTTAATCACAATCATCTAAAAGAAATACTGAGGAGCATGAAAATTTTGTTGTAAAAAGGAGTCAAGACTCAGAAAAACTTGAAACCTTCTCGGAAACAAATCTAATCAATCAATCAATCAATCAATCAATCTAGTTCTGTTTACTTTTAATTATATGTCAACATTGATTTTTAATAAAAAATGATACTTTTGTTTTATCAACATTTTCAATGACTCACCAACATTATCTTCTAACTCTTTAATTTTCTCTTCCTGCTCCGAAATAATTGACTGTAAATTGTCAACTAATTGATCCTTCTCATGCATCTGCACTTCGTGAGTTTTCCGCAGAATTTTCAACTGCTGACGCTTATTACTTTCCTCCCTTTCCAACCGTGATTTATAATGACGAATTTTATCCTTACAATTCTGTAAAAATATTAATTAAAATTTTCTGAAACATTGCACAACAAAATTTGGGGGGAAAAAAACAAGAACTGTCAGTAGGGCAACGTGCTGTACTATTCTGAGTCCTTGAGAGTAAAACAAAAGCCTGGATAATGTAAAATTTTCAAAGATCAAAAAGGGCCATAATTCTGTCAAAATTCATGTAAGTTATTGGCCATGGACTGTGACCGCCTATTATGCTCTTAAATAAAAGCGTCAAGTTTCAACCGATTCCCTGTCATAGTTTTGAAGATACCAACTTGCACACAAGACATAACCAAAGAGTTACGCAGACACCAGCCTGGGTGAGTACAATAGCTTTGTATCGATAAATAAACATCAGAGGAATATCAATGATTCGTCAATATCGTTTCTATCTATGATACATCTACTAAGTACAACCACAGATTTATGCAGCCCTATCGCAAACATAATATACGGAATCAACAAATCAAGTTTAAACCTAGCAAAACTTCAAAACAATCTGTCTTTTAAAATAACCAGATTATAGCGAGTGCAATATCATTAGCAGCGAGTTATTAATAGGCTTCCATTCACTTCAGACAAACTTTTCTCGTTAAACACATGAGACGATGGCAAAATAATATTTATCATCCAGCAATAAAATTCTAGCCAATGTCTGGAAATTGATGAGACTAGCATCTAATGATAATTGTACTCCTCGCTTGACAAACAAATTTTGAATCAATAAACAAAATAAATGATGTGCTACAAAAACAAGACTAAATATACAAATGCCTGACATTTGACAATATATCAACAAAGTTACAATTCCCAAATGCCTTTTTTTTGCAGGATATTGTCTGAAGTAATAAAATCCTTCCAACTTTACTGCAGGCTTTACAAAACTACCAGAAAACATGTCCAATAGTCGGTCAGTGTGTGTCTCACTGAATCAATGAGTAGACCTATCTATTTTCATTATCATGGTTAAATCTTGATTCATCATTGCTCTACCAAATCATGTTGGTCATCCACTCTAGAAAGGTTATCCTATTCCCTGACAATTTGCTTGACAGGTCACATAGCCGGGAAAACTTTGGAAAGGCTCATGAGACTGAAAACAATCCCGAATATTCAATATGTCAACATGACATCTGGAAAACATGAACATGTCTAAAACAGATAAGTCTCAGTATTTTGTTCAATTTTCAATGCATAGCCAAGTCATTACTTTTTCAATAATTTTGTATGATAAATTATGTCAGACATATTGTCCCTATTCACCAGATTTGGCTCAGATTTTGTTTGACATTTGCCTTCAGACATTACTTTTAGGCATCCTTTTATTAAATGTGACTCAAATTATTCAAAATGTCAACAAATGTATTGCATATGATAGTCAAGTATAAACAATTCTATCTTTAACACGCTACGACAAATCTATCTTGCCAAGTTCACATGATGCTGACAATTTATCATGTCTGCAAAACAGCCAATTCCTTCTGCTTCCATGCATTACATCAGTAATTTCAAGGGGAAATTGTGGCTTTCACAAAGGAATTCTGAGGAAAATCATTATTCAGCATCAATGAATACAAGATAATCTTCTACAAAATATATTCAAAAATCTAATCACATTGTAAAATGGAATGGGTTTTTCTTGTATTACAGTAGCATAAACAGACCTTAGTTTGGTGTGAAAAGATAAATGTTTGGTCTTTAACATGAAAGGCTTATTTAGTTAACACTTTTTCAGGAAGTGGAGTCAATCAACCCTTGGAATAATTCTAATAAATAAAGAATAGTTTTCTAAATAGAAGCATAATTCTATGAGACATTTTACTTTTAGTTTATAATTCTTTCATATTCTACCATGTCAATTTTAAAATTTTCTACTTTCTATGTAGCTTGTTTAAGATGTACATCATTAATTTTACAGGAATAAGTGCAAAGATTGTTCTTAAAGACAAATACTTACTTTCAGAAAGTAAATTATCACTTTGTAATTTCTTTTAATTTTTGAAGTTTTGAAGGTTTTTGCCTCAAGGAAAATTGCTCTATTACTTGGTGCAGGGGTAAAAGAACTAGGAACAAAGTTTGGAAGATGGAGAAAGCACATTCTCTCAGAAACCGTTAAAGAAATAGTCTTAATTTCTGATGTTTTGCATACAACAAGAGCCACCAAATAAAATGTGACGAATCAGCAATACATTTTCTCCATTTTCTTTCTTTTTGGTCTGGTCACTTGCAAACACTGACCACAACTGGCAAAATGCCAAGAAAGAGGAGACAAGAAAAGATATGATACCTTAATCTGAAGTAAAGTCTCATCTCTCTGCGCGTTCTTCTCCGCTAACACTTTCTGTAATGCTCTGTATTCAACCACCGATGTCTGGCCTGAAAAGATAGCAAAATTTCCCCAAAAATTAAACATGACATCTGGGAACTTTACACTAGATTAATCAAAGTTTTGGTGAGTTTTCAAGAATATTCAGTTTCATAGACTGCCGCTCAAAATCAAGTAAGTTAGCGCTTCATTTCATCTCAAATATTTGTCAAAAATGGTTAGTGTCAGTAAAAACTTCACTTTACCTTAAACCTTTTAATTAAATAATAACTGTTGAAAAAAACGGTGATTTTGAATTTGTGTATCTTGTGGTATTCCAATTATTTAATTTCCGAGTTTCAAAGGTGGTAAGATACAAATTATTTTTTTTAAAGGACTTGCTTCAAATAAGAAACTGTAAGTTTCTTGGATTTGCGTTTTAAATTTGCATATACATGTATCTTATATTTACTTCTGAGTCATTCCTTTAAGTCACATACATAGTTACACTTTCTCATTTTAACGCACATTATCAAAGTTTTATTTAAATGTGGCCACATCTGAGTTATCACATTTTTGGTACAAAAAAAATCAAAATTGTCTGCCAAATAATTCAATAAATGGTGTACCTTAATTTAAGCCTGTTTGCACAGACTGAATCTACCCATGTGACCAGTGCAGACCAAAATCAGCAGGCACTTGTGTGCTGTTTTGTTGTGGTCTGCATTGTAAGTTGTTCAGTCAGTCCATAATTATTTTGAAGTTTTCCCTTATATAATGGAATTGTCTCGATTAAAAGATGTACCAGTCCGTGGTAAGGGTTTAAGCATGGCAAGGGTTCAATAAATTCTGGTTGTTTTAACATTTGTATGCCAGCAGAAATAATAACCTGACTAAATAGCCACCAGGACATTGCCTGAGTGAACAGAAAAAGTTCAATTTATTTTAGTATAATGTTCAAACTTGATTGTTTTAAGCATGACAAATTCTATATCATTATTAACGATCATTGATTTTCTTATAGGAGTGCTAATTCATTGTATGGAGACAAGTTTCTTCTCTCACTATGAAATTAACAATGACACTGCAGATATTTCCTAGTGCTATTAATTAGAGAAAATGCATTCGGTATATATCAATAATGTACAGTCTGGCAATGTAGCCTGACAATTTATTGGGTGCTACCAAATTAATTAGGTACTTCTAATAAATGCATATTTCTGTGTAACTTCTGCAGAGCTATATTTATCCAATTTCTTTGCATACTCTATAATTATAGAATTAAAGTCAGGGAATACAATTCGTAATTACTCTCTAAATTTCCCCAGACGGTAATTTTATTTGACATAATTCGGTTGGCATAAGTAATGTTTTTATCTGAATTGGAGGAAATTATGACATAACAAATCTGCCTTAAATGACCTGGTATTAACCAATTTGTTAGTAATATCTTTCAGCAGAAAAACCTCTCTAGGAAAATACTGTTAAATGTATTTGTCACAATATGTTAAATGTAAAGAAAGATGTAAAGAATAAAGATTTTGTAATAACTTGAACTACACATGATTTTTTACATCATGCAATACTTCCAGAGCAACATTTTCATATAAAATCACATAACAATACACTTTTGTAATAATATATAATAATATAAGGTTTGAAACAAAAATTATTTTGCAAGTATTTCTTTTGAATTTCATTTAAGTTGTTCCAAATTTAAAAGGTGGAATTAAAATCTGATGGGGTTCAATTTAGAAAGAAAAACACTTTGCGTTTGCATTGTAATTGAAATTTTCACGTTTAAATGAAATTACATAAGAATTCCTCAAAATACCCATTTATTACTTCTATATTATCCCCCGCCACCCAACATACACAAAACCAACAAAAAAGAAGGATTTAATTTAATGGGAAAAAGACAGAAAAAAAAAACAATAAAATATATTTTTTTAGAGCACTGATCAAACTTAATTTACTGGTAATCAACTAAATACTTTAATTTAAGGCACTATTATCATTAACCACTTGACAAGAGAGAAGCCTCAAAAACCATAAAAAAGTATCAGCAAAATATTTTATCTGTCTATAAAAAATACTTTAAAACCAAAATGTCACAGACCTATGTCAGCTGCCCTATTCCAGCCTAGTACAATATTTCTTCCCCTCATCTCATGAACAATATATCCACAGTTAGCACATGCTGGAAGCCTTATTCTCTCACAAAACATAATCTCACAATGCCTAACTTATACTGCACATTTCCCTTCCTGCAGTTATTGATACATTCTCACTATTGATTTCATAGTTTATTTTTGTTTATTTCCCCCCTGTTTTCCTGTATGAAAGCCAAAATGTATTGCGCAATAGTAGACACAGAGTGTCAGAATCTCTCGTGCTCTTATAAATTTGTAAATAATCACTTAAAATGTCAACTGACACAGTTGCAGGCTACAAGACTGCTATGTATTTCACTTTTAAGGCAATATTTTAGTCAGACACATAATTGGGTGCACATGATTTTTTTTAGCCTTTGAAAATTTAGGCAGTATTAAAAATGAAAAATTAAGGCAGTATTAAAAATGGAAAAATTTAGGCAGTATTAAAAATGAAAAATTTTAGGCAATATCAAAAAAGACATTTTCAGACTTGAAAATTTCAGCAGTATTAGAAATCACAATTTAAAAAAAAAAAATTCAAAAACTTTTTTTTTAAATATGGGAACAACATTGATGAAGAGTAAATAAAAAAGTATTACATTTTTCTTTCTGAATTTCTATTTAAATGCATGTACGAGGGATGTCCGGAAAGTTCATATACATCTTCATTTTTTATTGTATAACAATACAATCATACGCTGTACAAATTTTGTCAGCATAAATATACATATCTAGCAAACACATTTATCAAAAATTATTGAACTGTGACTTACGTTTGTATTTTAACAGTATTTACATACAACATATATACATCGTCATGGAGCACTTTGACAGCGTCAACGGCGTCAAATTAACTTCATGTTTACCAACTATTCAGTTTCCTCCGATTTTAATAGCCATATGGTAACTGTCTCGCGTATACTTAATACATGTAATGGTCCTTTGCTATTACTTGATGAATATCATATTTAAAATTATTATTTAAAATCAAAGATGTCAATGGTTCCCATACAGTGTGTGAGAATTCTGCCTTTTTCAAAAATTGTAACGCAATCTACGATATTTCGGCCATGCTACTTTTGGTCGTCTGGGGCGTTTCTTATACGACATCCTGTCAACCTTGTTTGACATTTAAACACAAGTTGCCGTTGATTTTGTTTTTAAAAGTGAAGATTTAAATCTCAGTTGGCGCCATATTAGCGTTGCTATGAAGTTAAATATTATTCCGTTGCTCCGTCCGTGAATTTGACGTCATTTTTGCAACACAAAATTTACGCACCTTCATTGCCTATAATCGTCTTTTACAAGCTGTTTGTTTACGTATGACGTCATAATTTACACTAAATATCATGTAATAGTATCCTATGATGCCACAAAATTAAAAGGAGAGTTTGCGTTAAAATCACAATTTTTAGCAACTTATAATTCGAGTAGCTATCGTAATGAAATCAAAGTGCTCTGTGATTCGTTGATCATGTTGCCATAGTGATCGGCGCTTTACAGATATTTATTTTATTATGCCTTTTGCTTTAGAAATATGTAGCAAGTAAATACTTTAGCAAAATATTCAATCATCATATCGATATGACTGTTTATAATAATTTTATACGAACTTTCCGGACAGCCCTCGTACAATTACCAATTTGACAACATTTTCAAAAATTTGTGTTCTTTTGTGCTCTATAAAAATAAAATGCTACAAAAGTGAGGTTTTTATATAGATTCCCTTCGAAAAATCTTAATACTTTGAAAGTTTTCTCAAAAAGGTTAAAGTCGAGGTCAACCAGAGGGTCATGACAATAGCTCCACTTATTAAGGACTTTATCTAATAAATCAAAATTCTGTCTTTGAAATTTAAGAAGGATATATTACTATGTGAAATCCTATACCAATATAAATTATTATCTAGTTTCGATTGTTTATTCAACAAGAGAAAACAAACAGTAAAATCCTTTCATCATGTCAAAATGTAAGCAATTATTACAACAGTCAATCCTATAATTTTAAATGAAAAGTGATTTAAAATAAATATTCCAAATTTCAAAATAGGGTCTTGATTTGATTAAGTTTATTTAAAATTATTTTTAACAACAAGAGTAAATATCATTTAATGATAAAAAAAAAATATGATTTAACTATTTTTGAACTTTAAAATTATTTCCTTTTTCCTGCTGAACTTGGAAACTGCCAGACCTGACCCCCCCCCCCCCCTAAAAAAAATATTTTCTTACATGAAATACAAACTGAACAAACATTCAACACAGAAAAAAGTTTTTCATTTTACAATTTAATTTGACAGCAAGTTCACTCAAACTTTCAAAGTGTATTTAATCAAATGATGATAAGAGTGGTGAAGGTGTTTGTCTCTCCACCTTGGGAGTTTGGGTTCAAGCCACACCTGGATCACAACCATATTTTTTCATTATCCAGCAAATTTTTGTTCAAACTTATCCAATTAAAAATCATTAAAACAGAGATGTCATTTAAAAAAACGAGTGGAAAATGGCTAGCACTGGATAATGGCTAGCACTGTCTGATGATGGTTTACCGTGCACTAATCAATAACTTGAATAAGTCAAACAAAACCCATTGATCTAAAGCTAGAAATTTTATCTTGGTCTATTAACTTCACAGATAAATAATTACACCTAGTCACTGACTGTCAGACACATTACATGTTTACAATCCTAGAATTAGATAAGACAGGAGTTCTTGTTTGTCTAGAACTTAAAGCAACTTGTCTCAACGTTCATGCTAATTTTCATACAAAATGAGAAAGTTTACAGTGATTTTTTTTTTCAATCAAAGGGGAAAGAGACTGAGCCCATGTGAGTGGGGAAAAATTTTGTGTCATGTTGGGGGGGGGGGGGGGGGGGGGCAATCCTTATTCTGGGAACATTTAGAAATAGGGAAAAGCAGTCTTTTACAAATCAAATTATAAAAACTTTATCTGTGACCATATATCAGTTAAGACTAGAAAGAAACGTTCTTTTTAGATACAAAAGATATTTTTGAACTGCTGTCTGGAGAAATTCAAAAAAAAAAAAAAAAAAAAAATGTTTTTGGAGAAGGGAATGAGGCCAAAATTTCAACTCCAATTTAGCCCTAAATTAACACTGTTTTAAATAGTTAAAATCTAATCAAGTGTCTAAATAAAGTAATTAATTCAAGACTTAGATACTAGAGTTCAAATTCATTTTCACCCTAAAATTGTTGGAATATAATAACTGGCCCATTTTCTTTTACTAGCAGGGTAAGGATATGGTGATAAAATAGTAGTCAACTGCATATAGCATATTAAACAAACATTTTTGTATTTTTCATACTTTTGTTAAGTACTTTTTCCTGCATTTGATATTTGAAAATTTTATCATCACATCAGGGGACATCCAGGTTTATTTAGTAAGGCTTAACTGAATATTCAGGCTTATTATTATAACTCATTGAAACAAGGTTCTTACATTTCTGATTTTCTTCCTCTTCTGACGATGAATTTTCCTTGTCACTTGTTGGATCATCTGTAAAAAAAAGTTAAAATAAAATAATAACAATCATCTTGAAACTTTGTAAACAACAATTATAACAATGCAAAACCATTCAATCTGACAACATAAACTATATAGTTTTAACAAAAATTGTAAAAAGTTTGAAAATAAATAAATCTTTGTAAATTGTATACTTTATTTGTTAATTGTATACTTCATCAAATAAATAAATTTTTACCTATGTTAATTGTACACTTTATTTGTTAATTGTATACTTCATCGACAAAAGGCTTGAAAATAAATAAATCTTTGTTAATTGTATACTTCATAAACAAAAGGAAGGTCTTAGGATATATTGGTGATAAATTTAGTAGATTTAGGTAACAAGAGAATTTTATTTTTTTATATAAAGTGATAAAGCATAGAAATGTGTTAAATTAATGAAAATCCTAAAATTATTAAACCGAAAGTGCAAATATTTCCAACCTTCGAGCCCAAGTTCCTGTTTCCATATTTCCTCTCTAGACGGAGAAGGTACTGGCTTATTTCCCACTATCCTTGGCTTAAATGACATCGGTGTCCTAAACACCAAATTATCCTTAGTTTTTGGTGTGCTTGGAGTGGAGATTGTCCTCTGGAGAGGGGTACGTGATGTACTACTGGACTTGAGGGGAGAACTGAATTCTTTCTGCACATTATCGGCTGTAACTGGTGTGTTAGTGGAACGAAGAACCCTGCTCTTAGGCGTGGAAGGAGTGTTTGGCGTATTTGGTGTCTAAAACAAAGATTTCATTGTAGAAAGAATGATAACAATTTTTTAAACAAATTAAGTTTTTTTTAAATTTTGGATGCACGTTTAAAATCCTCGAAGGCATGTTTCACATTCATTTCGTCAATTTGATTTAATCTATCAAAATATATGCCAGATTGTGAACAAACAAGTGCAAACTAGAAAGTTTTACTTTACAATCTTTGCATGTTTGTATGACTTTTTGTAATATTTTCCAATATTTTCTGAACAATCAGCTGGGAAAAGATTACGGAAAATCGGACAGACTGTACTCAAAATCTGTCAGACTAGAAAAGTGCTTTCTACATTTTATTTATTATGTTTATATACTTTATTTCTGTTATAAGTCACACTGACTTTGTTGTGAAAGCAGTCATGTTGATTTTGTAGGTAACTTGCTGGAAAAAGGACCATAAGTGCCCATCTGTACTGCAAAATCATAAACCCCATTTGTGGGGCACAAAATTTTTTGGGGTTTTTCCGTGGATGGGTTTAAATGAGTTTTAAAAGATTATAAATTTCATTTGTCCCCAGTAATCAAATTTTTTTTTTGGGCATTAAAAATTTTTTGGGCTTTTAAAATCTTTTGGGCAAAAATAGACAATAAACAATTTTAAAAAACCCCAAAATTTGCCCCTTTTGTGAAAAAAAGGGAAAAAAATTTAAAAAGAATTTGAATTCACAGAAATAGGAAATTAATCAGATTCTGGACATGAGTAGAATAACAATCTTAAAAAAAGGGAAACCCATGGTAACAAATAATTTAATTTTAAAAATTTTCTTGTGAAAATGAGCCCATCAAAATGATGGGCCAGTGATTGAAAAGGAACAAAATATCAATTACAGCCACTTTTTTTTCAATGATAAAATAATGTTTCAAACACTTACCCTTGATCTGAGCTCATATCGGCAAGAGTTTGGTGTCAATACTAAAGAGTTATCTCCCATTGTTATCAAAACTTGAATTTCTGAAATAATACAGTACCACCAAAATGAAGCTGCATTATTTTACTAATCTAATGATTAAGATACCAGTAGATGCCCCGTTAGTGTTAAAATGTTAAGATTTTTTTTTACTGTTTACAGGGGCGGTTCAAGCCAAGGGACATGGACTCCCAAGTTTCTGTGTTATGCTCATGAAGATAAAAGATATAAGGAATTCATTGAAAAAATCAATATGAAAAACATTCTACCAAACTGTTTATTTTTACTCATTAATATGGTACTAAATACAGTTCTATAAAAGCTTGAATATTTTAAATAGTATTCAAAACACCATTACACGAGCACAAGTATCTCAGTGAAACTTTATAGAAACTTAAAATGCAGAAGCAGAAAAGAATTTTTTCTATTAATAAAATCACTGTATGCATACCTCTTTCCTTATACTAGAAGTAATTTGAGCCCAACACAACACCTGTTCACTTAAAGTTCATCAGCAAAGATTTCTTTTCATTCTCAATTTCTTTTTCAACCTGGAAAAGAAAAACAAAGTCTGAAAAATAGAATCGAATCATACACAAAATATTAGGATCTTTTTAAATATACACAATGTAAATTTTCAAAAAAAAATTTATATAAGTATATATATATAATATAAAGTACATTGTAACTGAAAAATCTTTGTAAATGTTTTAACCTGTAGATTAACAGTAACTCTCAAAACTGTCAACAGCTAAATGCTGCAATAAAATGCAAAATCTGTAATGTACCAGGTGCTTTAATAGGTTCTATTTATGGAATGAAAGAAATTGATCGTGAAAATGCCATGAAAGTTACTTAAATCAATAAATCTGTAGAGAACGCAAGATTTAAACAAAAGGTCCCGCAATGTACAAATCAAACTTTGTCATAAACTGCTTGATAATGTTGTAATAGAGTAAAGTATATGATTTGTAAATGGACACCAATACTTTCAATATTGATGATAATTTTCAATGAGAATGATGTTATAATCAATATTAAACAGCAGTCTTCGCGTCTGTTGTAAATGTACTGAATCAGATTTACTGAATTATCTAACATTTCGTTTTTAATAAAAAAAAACATTCTTGCATCAGGGAGAAATTATAGGTTAATAAGGCAAGTTGTTTGTTTAAAACAAATGCAAGCCTGTCGGGTGTCAAAACCTTTTAACAGATATAGTTATAAAGTTAGAGTATATTTTTAAAATTTTACAGAAATAGTCAATGTCATACAAAAATGTGTAGGAGTGAAGGTAATGAAATTATTCTCAAAATAAAGTCCTCATTCAGTACTATGTTGTTTCCACAAATTAATGACATATTTCATTATTTCCTCCGACATTGAAAATCAAGAGATGTAATGCTTTAACAATACAATTTTTTGAATAAAATGTATATATAGTTTTACTTTATATAATATATAAATAAATAAATATGTAAAAATATATAAGTTTTTTCGGAGTCTGAAAATCCTAAAAATTAGAATTTTACTATTTATTCTTATACAATATAGTATAACTGAAAACTTAAACCATTTACACAATGTTACATGTACCACTGTTTCATTATTATGTATCCAATGGTGACGCCATGATTTGTTTCACTTTAGCATTTTTACAGTAACTTGTTACATCATAATATATAACATATAGATATTCTAAAAATTTGAAATTCTATATTGATAAAAAATTGTTGATAATTAAAATTTACTTTGATGTTTTAAAAAAATAAAATAACTAGAGGATGCTTTTGTAAAAAAGCGCATGTCTCCCCCACTGCACTGTGACCTTGACCTTTGACCTACTGACCCCAAAAACAATAGGGATCATCTGCTCTATAAGACCAATCATCCTATGAAGTTTGAGGGCTGTAGGTCAAAAGGAACTCTAGTTATCATCCGGAAACGAGAAATTGACCAACGGTCACTGTGACCTTGACCTTTGACCTACTGACCCCAAAAACAATAGGGATCATCTGCTCTATAAGACCAATCATCCTATGAAGTTTGAGGGCTGTAGGTCAAAAGGAACTCTAGTTATCATCCGGAAACGAGAAATTGACCAACGGTCACTGTGACCTTGACCTTTGAACTACTGACCCCAAAAAACAATAGGGATCATCTGCTCAATAAGCCCAATCATCCTATGAAGTTTGAGGTCTGTAGGTCTAAAGGAACTCTAGTTATCATCCGGAAACGAGAAATTGACCAACGGTCAGTGTGACCTTGACCTTTGACCTACTGACCCCAAAAACAATAGGGATCATCAGCTCTATAAGACCAATCATCCTATGAAGTTTGAGGGCTGTAGGTCAAAAGGAACTCTAGTTATCATCCGGAAACGAGAAATTGACCAACGGTCACTGTGACCTTGACCTTTGACCTACTGACCCCAAAAACAATAGGGATCATCTGCTCTATAAGACCAATCATCCTATGAAGTTTGAGGGCTGTAGGTCAAAAGGAACTCTAGTTATCATCCGGAAACGAGAAATTGACCAACGGTCACTGTGACCTTGACCTTTGACCTACTGACCCCAAAAACAATAGGGATCATCAGCTCTATAAGACCAATCATCCTATGAAGTTTGAGGGCTGTAGGTCAAAAGGAACTCTAGTTATCGTCCGGAAACGAAGAATGGACGGACGGACGGACTGACGGACGGACGGACTGACGGACGGACGGACAGGGCAAAAACAATATGTCTCCCCCCGAGGTGGGGGAGACATAATTAATGTTTTCTTTCTTCACAGACATATCACATGTCACTTTTGGAGGTAATTCATTTTTAATGATATTGACTCTAAAGCTACAGTCTCACTTACATCCCGGCAGAGCCCCGGCAGAGCCCCGGTAGACATCCGGGGTGATCCGGGAACGACCGGGGTACGACCGGGAACAACCGGGGTACATCCGTAACTCTGCCGGCAACGTCCTGGATGATCCGGGATGATCCGGGAACATCCGGCATTCCCGGTCCGGGATGATCCGGGAAGGTATAGCTTTGCCGGCTTCATCCTTAGCTCTGCCGGGAACGACCGGGGTTATACCGGGAAAGCACCGTAGCTCTGCCGGCACAAACCGGGGATGATCCGGGGTATGATATAGCCGGTAGAGCTACGGTAGAGCCCCGGTATATGCCGGCAGAGCCCCGGTAACTACAGGCAGAGCCCCGGAGGATAAAGGTAGAGCTACGGTTGATCCCGGTAGAGCCCCGGCAAAGCCCGGATCATTTCAAAAGAATAAGGACAAATTGCGATGATTGAACTTGTTTGTATCAAAAGCCTTCCCATTTCCTTTCTGTCCGGTATGGCATAAGGGTTTTTCAGAAAATCATCATGAATTACTATTCTGGAACAATAGATATTATATTAAATAAAAAATATGTATCAATGTTATCATTTTCGGGTGTTTTCAATCCACCGGGGTTCTACCGGGGCTCTGCCTGGATCGTCCTGGGCTCTGCCGGGGCTCTGCCTGGATCGACCGGGGCTCTGCCTGGGTCAACCGGGGCTCTTCCGGCGATATCCGGGAACGACCGGGGAAGCACCGGCATGAACCGTAGCTTCACCTGGGCTCTGCCTGGATGATCCGGAGCGCATCCTGGGTGGTGAGTAGGGAACTACCGTAGTGCTGCCGGGGTAAGTGTGACCGCAACAATAACTTCATCCCGGATCATCCCGGTAACTTACCGGGATGGTCCTGGGCTCTGCCGGGAGTAAGTGAGACCGAGGCTTAAGACAGGATCAAATTTTTGACAGACTGCTATGTATTATCTGGAAGAATCAGTTCATAGTATGTTGAAGCATAACTGAGCCAAGCATTCAACTTTAATTCAACATCTGATTTAAAGAAAATCTCAAACTGATTTTTTGTATTTTTGTTTGTTTTGTTTGGTTTGGTTTGGTTTTACAATGCACGGTCGAACACAATTAAGGCCATAATTGGCGCAGAAACAGGAAAGATGATTTTGGCTAATCACAGGGGTTACTAACTTATAGCCAACAACAGGGGTCAAAAGCATCTCATCTGTAGTCAAGAGATGCAGAGATTCCAGTAATTCAAACCCATTCTTACTATTACCCAGTGATAAACACCTAAACAGTGGCTGCAATTCTGATGCCTCAACCCTCAAAGGCATATCTCTAACAGAAGTTTATGCTGAATACAAGACACACAAGTACTTTTGATAACTTACATAGAACCTCCTAGCATAATCATAAATGTAGCAAAAACTTTATTCTAATAAATGAATAAAATCTATATAAATTTGTTAATTTGTCACATTTATTTTTAGTGACTTATTCTAAACATAAGAATATAAAGATAATTAATACTATATGTAAAACACAAACCTTCCTTATTTTTTTCTCAATTCAAGTAAAATCCAATTCATAAAATTTCCAAATTTGTAAGTTTAATGTTACATTTCTTTACGTATTAAAATAATATCAAGTGTAAGTCAAACAAAATTCACCCTTTCAGCATAAAGTCAAAAATCAAACCATGTACTATATTTTTTATATGCAACCACTCCTCAAAATATATCCCATAAAATATAATAGCAGATTGATTCTTCAAATTGTTTAACTACAAACATTTCCCATTACAAATCAATACCTCAACTTTTCTTTTATTGCATTAAAAGAGTTCGAAATTGATTCTACCCTGTTGATAAACAAACACTGAAGTCCATAAGTCAATATTAACTTCACTTAATTTATAAGCAGTACGGATACTTTACTAACTTCCGTTGTAACAGCACCTTAATTTTTCAAAATTCTGTCATAGTCATTTTTTTTTACCAAATGCATTCTTTTCTTTAAAGTTCATTTTTTAATAAAAAACAACAACAATTGGAGCTATTATAAATAAATCGTCAAACAAAAACACTGTTTAAATCATTTACGGATCATAAATTCCAAAATTAAATCTAATCAATTGTAAAAAAAACTACAATTCTAAATATGTAATAAGTAAACCGTAGAGCAAATATTTACATAGAAAACCCACCCCTATTCATACAATGATATTGTAATAAATATTTTTGATTCTTTTAATAAATACAGCTGTGAATGATTCGTAAAACAAATCTGAAAAGAAAAGTGACACACAATCTTTTAAACTCCTACAACTTGACCGACCCATCCCGTCTGTAGATTTTCCAGAGTTACTCTGGAAAAACTCTGGAAAATAACAGAATTTCCATGAATTTCCGTGAATTTTCATGGAAACCAGCTTTTTTCCACAGTAATTCCAGAGTACTCTGGAAAAATTTTCATGGAGAACTCTGGAACATGATTTTACCATCAAAAGAAATCTCCATGAAACACCTCCGGAAACTCTGGAAAGTCAACACTTAGAAATTTTTCAAGGAGTTGTACTCTGGAAAACACTTAGTCATTTTTGTGAATGTTCTGGACTTAGAAAATTTTCAGCTGATTTTGGACTTAGAAAATTTTCAACTAATTTCAGCATTTACTTCATTTTTTCTCCCCAGTGCAACAGTCTTCCAAAGATGTGTTATATACATCTGCAAAAACACCAAGGTTCAACATTATTAATACCACTTGTAAAACTATATGGGACTAAAGTACTAAAGATTTGTTCAGAAGATTATTAAAATCATGAATATATCTAATTTGAAGTGAATGTATAAACTTAGTATATAGTTTGGAAAGGTTGATTCCTAGTATTTGTTAATTTGATTTGGTTGATTCTTTTAACTGTCAGTTTTTTTATTTACACTTATCTTACTGACTACAGTAATTATCAGGTTTTTTTTTTTCAAAAATCAAATTTGAGCATAATATATCTGTACCTATAAAATTTATACATTATCATAAGGAATAACGTTGGCCATGTAAATAATTCAATTATCAGTCATAATTTGTAGCAGGCATTTGAAAATATTGTGCCATGTACATAACAGGGGGTTATAAAAATATTTGATGAAGCATAGGCCCTATCATATGTACAATGGTCACATGATTATAACTCTTAATCCATGGTAATTAAGACCATATAATTATGTTCAATATAATTTAACTTGATATTAATGTAATGAGCAATTATTAAAAAATATATTTTTTAACTAATAACTATACCAAAGCTAACATTGTTATCTAAATCCTTAACTTTTTACATTACCTTTATCTGAATCCATCGTTGTTCATTTCAGAGGCATATAATAAGGTATATAGTGTCTCTGTTAATTTGTATACAATTTTATCTCCATAATGTCATCACACTTTCCAGAACCTGTTTTGTTTGAATGTCCGGAAAGAAATAAAATAATCTTTTCTACAATAATAAACATTATGAGGCAGGATCCCGTAAATCTTTGATTGTAAGCTGGTAAACTACACAGAACGACCTGCCACATGTGATGCCAAGCTACTACAGGTGTGGTTTGAAATTGACCAATCAAAATAATGAACAGTATTGGCGGTCATTTGAACTCACAGTTAATATGCTGATAAGCGTTTGGCTGTTTGTTGTGGCATGATGGAGAATTCACTTGCATTAGGAATTTGGATAAATGACAAAAAAAACTTGGAACAATCTTGAAATTAGATGACATAAAAGTGCCTAGAAAGAGCACTGACATGTACAAAGAAGGAGACATAGTGGAAACTAAGTGTTGGGGATTTAAAGGGTTGCACAAGTGCTTGTTGGCAAAAATTGGAGGTAAGATCGCCATTTTGATACTCTCCATTTTTTTTAAAAAATAGATCTAGCCTGTTGTATTTAAAATTTTGTGTTGCCAAGGTTGAATATACAGTAGTGTCCTTTCACATAAAATTTTCTTTCATTATATTTAAAAATTCTTGCTGAACATGAATTTAATTTTTAGATGACTTACTGATCTGTGTTATAATTTAACTAAAGTATTCATTCACATAACCATTGATTTTGCTGGGAAAAATTGACAAGAACAATTGATATGACCATGAAAAATATCAATTACCACTTTGGAAAAACATAAACAAAATGGGCATTGGTAAATTCCATCTATAATTATCCATGCAGTGTACAGTTATGTCATTTAGGTCACACACATGTTTACCCTACTTTCAAACGTGGGAAAATAATGATAAAGGAGTGCCTAATGAATGATTTAATCTTTTTTGATCTTGCTCATGCTGACATAATCTACATGTATTAATTGGGAAGTGCCTTTAATCAGCACTATCAAAACAAGGCAATACAATTGTACAATACACAGTAGGATGCCCACTATTGTAGCAATCATAGAGCAACAAAATACAAATATTGTGTAATGCACCATAAATCTGCATTTAGATAAATGTTACTTGTACTGGGTTTGCTGTGAAAAGGTGATTTTATATATAACAACATATGGATTATTGTACAGTTCAGCCACTTTTTTATGATTCCTAAATAACACTGAATGTGATTTACTATAACCACCAGTATGAAGATAAGCCTGCCTGCACTTCCTAAAAGTTCTTTGCCATTGGCATGACCAGGCTTTTTTTTTACCTTTATAATTCCTAAAATTGACAGTGAACATAGAAACTGGATAGAAATTTTGCATAGTAAGAGTTAAATACAAAATTAACTAGGCCATAGGTAGGAAATCATGAAGTCACATCATAATTATCAATTAAAGATAAAGAGATCTAATATGCTTATAGCAGAATGAACCCACTGTAATCAGATGTGAAGTGACCACAATATTTTCTTTAGTTTTCAAAGTAAATGTTTGTTATTCACTCATTTGAAACCAATATCCTCAATCAAGACTAATTTCATGATTTCTGCCCCATTCCCCTCAATAATTGAGATATTTTTATTTGTATTTTTTAATATAGGGAAAAAAATGCTTTCTTCAAAATGATGCAAAATTCCCCTACCCAAGGGCTCAGTCCCCTTTAAGGTAATTAAGGCCCTGCTTAATGTAATGATGCTATCAAGTTGAGCCTATAATGTATATTTCTATATTTTGGTTGTAGGAGAAACAGACCGCAGTAATTTAGAGGATATATTAAGAGGGGATGCATTTAACGAGTTAAAAGAAAAATTTAACATCAAAGACGAGGAAGAAACCATTGATGACTTGGGCCATTTGAAAAGGAGAAAATCTGATTTACCGGTAAAATACTTCAACATTATTTAACATTATTATCAGAAATACCACTTGTTTAACCTTATAATCAAATCATAATTATAATTTCTTGTACCTGTCAGCATTTCATGTAATTGCATGGTATTTAGTCAAAACAAATTTATATAGCAACAGCAATGTTACAGAAGCACACCTCCAGATTCATACTAATTTTCATGAAAATTTGAAAATGTATTTAACAGTATAATGTGAAGTTACCAAAAGAATGCAATTTACACATTACCAGTTGCACTTACATTACCCATGTACCGTACATTACCATAAAGAGGTCATAATATACAAAAATAGCCATTACTGCGGTAGTAACACAGTAGAAATAAAGTTATAAATACTTTAAAAATGGGTCATTAATGCACATAACATGTAAATTATTACTAGAATTTTGAATATATATTATACACTATCTAAAATCTTAGTACATAGTACTCAGGTTTGATTTTATCAAAATATTGTTGCTCATCTGGAGGCATGCAGCTTTAAAAAAAAAATTGCCAAAATGAAAAAATATGCAGGATTTATTTCCCTTTGTCTAAAAATGTAGCAGTATAGAAGAAAAAAATAGCTAAACATCCAAAGGCCAACATTATCAAATATTGTGTACTCACAAACCTTAGCACTTCTTATATTATTACATTCTGTAAATACAAAAACAAATTAATGTTTCTTGTGAGTTAATTATGTAAATAAAAGTGCCTTTTAAAATTAAAACATGAGAAAATGAATTTCAAGAAATGTTTAGTTAGGGTGATTTGCCACTTATCCCTTTATAACCATTCTGTGTAGTTTTCATTATTTTTTGTCAAAAATGTTTCAGAATCAGCTTTTAGCAAAAATTGAAGGGGTTACTGATTATTCCAAGGCCGCAAAAACGCTATTTAGGACCCTTTACAAGGAAGAGGAGTATCACGGCCGGTCCTTGTGTGGCGGAAAGCCGAATAAGAGGTACCTGGCAAGGCCACCACTTGAAGACCAAACAAAACTGCACATAATATATGGTTGGTAAATTTTTTACATGCCAGACATGCATATTTGATAATATTTTAAATACTTTGACTGACAGTTGTGAGTTATATTTCAATAAATTTTGATACATTAATGAACTTCAATCATTCTTATGGTAAAATATTCTAACTGTTTGCCAAATTATAAAAATAGCATTGTGATATGTTATAAGACTTTAACAATGAATTTAAATTTATGGCATTTTAAGCAATGGTCCAAATATGGCTCTTAATTGAAAACACAAGTAGATTTTAAGTAGATTTTCTCCTCCTTTTTTATATCAAGCTATTGCTGTCATTACTTTTCTTCCTATGGGCATTGCTAGCTCTATGATGTGACATATTTGCAATGCTGAATCTATGTGAATTAGACAAAAGCTTTCTTAAGCTGCAACCCAATGTAATTATGAATTTATTCAGCTTTTTTTTTCCAAACAAATACATTGATGTTTGCAAAAATTACTTTCAACCTAATAATTATATCATATGTATTATTTGTTTTTTTTTAGATATTATTCATGAAAAGTATGGCCAAGGACCATCAAATATCAAAGAAAAGTTAAGGGAGATATTAAAACCAACACTAAACAAATGAAGAGACTTGATATGATGTGTTTGTGTCCATAAATATTAAAGATGTTCAAAGAATTTTTATAGTTATCTTTTTGTTTATGAAATGTTAAAAAGTCAGATTACAGAAGTTAAGGTTCAAATGTATGATTGAATGAGAATGCATCTTGAAATAAAAGATAGTTATATCATTAGGTCAGTTTTATTTTTTTTTGCATAAAACTCTTAATAAAGTCAACTGTATGAAAGATTAAGTCACTAATGTATTATGCTACTGGCACAGAATGATTTGCTCCTGTCTGTCCGACTGTCCATCTGAGACCTGGAATTGGTGGTTTTTTAGAGAAATTATTTTAGTTGACTGTGTAGGAAGGTATTAGCTTATAAAGACACTTTCAAATCGGTTGCTGGAACCAACCATTAGTGAGCAATGAGTGTAAAGTTTCTTGCTCAATGAAACAACTTGTCCCTGACAAGGTTTGAACCAATGCAGCTTGCTATCATTAAATTACTAGTCCGATATATTAACCGCTCAGCCATGCCGCCACTACTACTCCCTCTTTCTACAGTATTCCTAACTGCGGAACTTTTTTCCAGAGTGGCTCTGGAAATTTTTTCCATAGTAACTCTGGAACCTATTTTTAACTGCGGAACTTTTTTCCAGAGTGACTCTGGAAATTTTTTCCAGAGTGACTGCGGAACCTTTTTTAACTGCGGAACTTTTTTCCAGAGTGGCTCTGGAAATTTTTTCCAGAGTAACTGTGGAAATTTTTTCCAGAGTACTATAACATATAAGGAAAACAATTTCCAGAGTTTCTTTGATAACTCCGGAACATTTTCACGGAAAACTCCGGAAACATTTCATGAAAAAAGCTCTGGAAATTCATGGAAGGTGTTCATGATTTTTTTTCAATTTTCCGTGAAAAACTCCGGAAAACTAGTCCGAATTATCCAGAGTTGGAGATTTCCATGAATTTCCGGTATTTTTTCATGGAAATTCATGGAAAATGTACGGACGGGATCACACCTTGAAATTCCAATTTATACACAAACGTTAAACAAATATCAATGAAATTGATTAGTTGTTTCAAAGTTTTTGTAAATCCAAGTCTTGTTTGACTATTTGACTTAAACAATTCTTTTAATATTACCAGATAATTTGATTTAAGATATACAGCACATTTAAAGTTTAAAATGCTCAAAGAAAAAATTTACGTGTGTAACAAAATTTTATAACCATGTTGAACCAGAAAGTGCTATTGAGCCCTGTCAAATTTTTTTTTCAACATTCCAGATCCTTATTAATAACATAAATATTTATTTATAATAAATACAATATATTATTTTTCTTAAGTACAAAATACCTTTGGGGTTTTTGTTTTGAAATGAATGCATGAAAAAAGATCATAATCTTATAGTAAGCTTTACAAAACAACACATTCATTATACTTAGATATATTGCTAATACGGATTTTACGAGATTAAAATAAATAGGCTACCCTATATTGTAAAAAGTACCTCTGTAAGCATTACAGTCATGTAATAACTGCTGACATTTAGCTTTAATGTGAAGTCTGGCTGCAATGTCTTGCAAATTGCAAGCCTATACAATTCAATGTGTAATCTTGTCTTGGGTTTAAAGAACATGCTACTTCCGTTCACTGTATCTTTCTTGGGAGAATTTATATTTCTTGAGAAAAACAGGAAATAGGCTTGATTTTACCCACTGTGTGACTTGTCTGCATAAAATCATGCTTTTTTGACAGTAATGGCAGTACCTCAAAAGTTCAAGTGGGCAGCTAAATCTTGGAATTTTATATTTTGAAATCCCTTTTCATATTACATACAACAAACAGATCCAAATTCAAAATAGAACAAGTTCATTCTAAGTATACAGGTAAACCTAAGGTAATGTAATAATTATACAGGTATTTTTACTATTTTATAAATTAAAATTTTAATGATTTATATTAATTCTAGTCTTTATTGTCCCTTGTAAGAAGGCATCAAATAAAGCTACTCGTAATAAGCGCCCTTTAAGATAACATTGTGCATTGTACCTCTATATAAACGCTATTCTAAAAACCGACAGTTAAATGTATCAATGAAAAGTTAAACCCCCCACTGACAAAAAACTCGCAATGGATATATATGATAAAATCATTCCTTTGCAAAGTAATTTTTATCTAATTCAAAATCACCTTTTCAAGAGATAAATGATAATAATTTAAAGTGAATGACATTTGATTCATTAATCTTTCATGAAATTGTAATTTCATACTAGATCTCAAGTACATGTTTGTAACTTTGTTATCTTTATTAAGGAAAAAAAATATAAGAATTTCAATTTCAATCAATTTAAGTTTTCTCCTGTCCAAGTTTACACATCAATCAATGATTATAATGATTGTTTTAAAAATCATAAAAGATAAAATGATATCAAAACCATTATTGAAATATTTCACTTAATACTCTATATATGACATTTTAGCAAATGAAGATAGTTCTTAGTTTGAACATATTAAAATGTAATTGGATTTAACTAACTAAATTGTTGGAGCAGTGCCTCCAGATGCTTGCAGAAGTCATCACAAAATAGGAAAAATTGGAAAATACAGGGTTTTTTTTCTGATTTTTACATTTTTCATTCATTATCAAATATAATTTGGTGTGAACAGATTAATTAGGCATCTTCTTTCTTAAAGGCATTTTTGCCAGTGAAAAGGTGAGATTTTAGCATTTAATCATTCAAGTGCCTTGTCCGAAATATACCAGAATACAGTATTTAGTTGTGGTATTCTAACACTCATTTTAGTCTCAGTCACTCTATGTAATTTACCCATAGCCTACTGAAAGCAATAGATTCTACCAGTAGGACCAGTAGAGCAAGATCTGTAAGCACCACTGATTATGGTCTACACTGTTCGAAATACATGTATTAAGAAATTTTCCCTAAAATGATAAATGGTTAAATCCAGATTGAAAGATGGACAAGTCCATTTAAGATATATCACTTGATAAGGGTTAGTCAGTCTCAACAAAACTTCAATGTATTCATCCTGTTACAAGTACAGAGAAACAAAAATTGTAGCAAACGTTATATATATCATATGAATAACAATTCAACAGAAACATCATGTGAAGCTTTCATTCAGGTCTAAGTATAATGATATAGATTTACATATAAATAGCAAAATAAGTTTTATTATCATATTTAGAGTTATAAATAAAACAAGAACTGTCGGAGGACAGTAACGCTCGACTATTCGAAAATTTGTCACAAGGGTGTTTCATTGAGTATAATAATGCTTACCTATATGAATACATAAAATTGTCGGAAAAGGTACAAACTCTTCAAGTTTCAATACATTCCCTTCAGTAGTTATGGAGAGACAAGCTTACATGCAAAAACTTAACCAAGAATTCATGAGTCGAAAAAGGGGCATAATTATGTTAAAAAGCAAATCAGAGTTATGGGACTTGTGCCAATCATCTTAGATAATCACAGAGAACAAGTGTGTGAAGTTTCAATCCATTCCCTTCAGTAGTTATGGAGATACCAGCTTACATGCAAAAACTTAACCAAGAATTTCTAAGTCGAAAAAGGGGCATAATTATGTTAAAAAGCAAATCAGAGTTATGGGACTTGTGCCAATCATCTTAGATAATCACAGAGAACAAGTGTGTGAAGTTTCAATCCATTCCCTTCAGTATTTATGGAGATACCAGCTTACATGCAAAAACTTAACCAAGAATTTCTAAGTCGAAAAAGGGGCATAATTATGTAAAAAAGCAAATCAGAGTTATGGGACTTGTGCCAATCATCTTAGATAATCACAGAGAACAAGTGTGTGAAGTTTCAATCCATTCCCTTCAGTAGTTATGGAGATACCAGCTTACATACAAAAACTTAACCAAGAATTTCTAAGTCGAAAAAGGGGCATAATTATGTAAAAAAGCAAATCAGAGTTATGGGACTTGTGCCAATCATCTTAGATAATCTCAGAGAACAAGTGTGTGAAGTTTCAATCCATTCCCTTCAGTAGTTATGGAGATACCAGCTTACATACAAAAACTTAACCAAGAATTTCTAAGTCGAAAAAGGGGCATAATTATGTTAAAAAGCAAATCAGAGTTATGGGACTTGTGCCAATCATCTTAGATAATCACAGAGAACAAGTGTGTGAAGTTTCAATACATTCCCTTCAGTAGTTATGGAGATACCAGCTTACATACAAAAACTTAACCAAGAATTTCTAAGTCGAAAAAGGGGCATAATTATAAAAAAAAGCAAATCAGAGTTATGGGACTTGTGCCAATCATCTTAGATAATCACAGAGAACAAGTGTGTGAAGTTTCAATCCATTCCCTTCAGTAGTTATGGAGATACCAGCTTACATACAAAAACTTAACCAAGAATTTCTAAGTCGAAAAAGGGGCATAATTATGAAAAAAACCAAATCAGAGTTATGGGACTTGTGCCAATCATCTTAGATAATCAAAGAGAACAAGTGTGTGAAGTTTCAATCCATTCCCTTCAGTAGTTATGGAGATACCAGCTTACATACAAAAACTTAACCACAGGGACGCCGACGCCGACGCCGACAAATGGGTGACTGCATTAGCTCGATTATTCTGCGAATAGTCGAGCTAAAAAATTAATAAAAAATTATAATCCATGAGTAAGATTTTCTGAATTTATCAAAAACAAAATATTGAAAGTGACATTACGCTCATATTTTCATAGTCAAGTTGAGCTCAACTGACTTTATATTTCACAAGATTGACTGTTGAAATGGTGTCTGACCAACAGTTGATATTGGAAAATGTTTAAATCTGCCTAAAATATAAAAAGACTGCCCCACTCTTTTTATAAACTAAGCGTTATAGGTAAATTCTATTGGATATTTACAGAAATTTTGTTTGGATCTGTGCATTATGTATTGTTTATGGGAAGCAAATTATTGAATTAAAAGGTATTATGGCAATATGAAAAATTATTTTGATATTCACCTGTTCACTCACTATATACCCTTGGATGGGCATAATGTCACTTTAAACTTTTTTTCTTGCATACAAATTAAACTTACCCTAGCTGTTAATAAAACATCAAGTAAAGTATTTCAATAAAATAAAACATTTTATTCAAAGACATGTATTTTCTTAATATATCAAAATTTCTATTTATAATTCC